AGAGAGAGAGAGAGAGAGAGAGAGAGAGAGAGAGAGAGAGAGAGAGAGAGAGAGAGCTGGATGGATGGATGGATGGATGGATGGATGGATGGATGGATGATAAGAGATAGGTAGGTAGGTAGGTAGAGTTAGATAGATAAATGGAGTCCTCAACTAAGAATTATTTGTTCAGTGACTGTTCGAAGTTACAGCAGCCCTGAAAAAAGTGACTTGCTTCCGGTACTCACACTTATGACCGTCGCAGCATCCCCATGGTCCCATGATTAACATCCCAGCACTTGGCAACTCACATATATTTATGACAGTTGCAATGATTCACTTAACTGTGGCAAAAAAAAAAAAAAAGGTCGTAGAATGGGGGAAACTCCCTTTACCAATGTCTCACTTAGCAACATAAATTTGGGACTCAATTGTGGTCGTAACGCGAGGACTACCTACCTGTAATCCAACCATTCTGATGAAGCCACGGCTGATCCCTGGAATCACCTCCCTCTCAGCATCCATCCTTGCAAAACCGACTTTCGGCCTGCAAGGCCTGGAATGTTCCTTTTTCAGGCTGCGATGAGAACCCTATCATTTTCCTTCGCCCTCCTAGTGTTTATCTCCAAAGTAAATGCCACGCGCTTGTTGACTCACCCTGAGTTTTAACCAAGCCAAGAAAATGATGCCCGCTGGATTATTCATCCCCATCCTTCGCCTCAACTCATCTGCCACCACTCCGACAGAGGCAAGGGTGTGAGATCTTCCCCCTGTCATCACCAGCTTAGACTATTATTTTTTTCATTTATTTATTTGTAGGCCTTTTATTATTTTTACGAATAAACCAAGGCGTGGAATGACACATCTCTCTCCTCCTATTTCCTCCACAACAACCCTGTGAATGGGTTGGTTTGAGGGAGGAGGACTGGCCCAATGTCACCCAGCCGGTTTTCGTGCCTAAGACGGGCACTAGAACTCCCAGTCTTCTGGTGATTGGCCCAGTCACTCAGCTGGCTCTCGTGGCTAAAGCGGGACTAGAACTCCCAGTCTCCTGGTGACTGGCCCAAAGTCACCCACCCATCTTTCATGCCTAAGGTGGGACTAGAATTCACAGTCTCCTGGTGATTGGCCCAGTCACCCAGCTTTCTTGCAGAGCTAAGGCAGGACTAGAACTCACCTTGCTGGCTGGGGAATTCTGGGAACTGAAGTCCACAAGTCATAAAGTTGCCAAGTTTAGAGAACCCAGAAAAGCTACCAGCAAAGAGACTTCCAGAAAACTTTCACGTAATACAGAATCAAAAGCCATTCGCCTGATTTTCATTTGTCACCTTGCACATCCTTCACAAAGAGCTCACCTGTACGCCCCTTCCCATCAATTGCCCCTTCTAGTCTCCCTCACCTCACTGAGCCACTCAAACGTTCTGTGAAGCTGAAGGCCTAAAACTCATGGAGGAGGTGCTGCCCAGCCTTCCATCATCCAGCAGCTACAGGTGGGTCCTCAATTTACGACCATAATTGAGCCCACCATTTCTGTTGTTAAGCAAAACATTTACGTGAATTTTGTCTCCTTTTATGACCTTTCTTGCCACAGGGGTTAAGTAAATCACTGCAGTTGTAAAGTCAGTAACACGGTTAAGTGAATCTGGCATCCCCCATTGGCACTGCTGATCAGAAGGTCGCAAAAGGAGATCGCATGGCACTGGGACCGTCATAAATATGAGTCAGTGGCCAAACGGTCCGAATTTTGATGACGTGATCCTGAGGATGCTGCAACGGTCATAAGTGTGAAAAATGGACCTAAATCGGTTTTTTTCAATGCCGTTGTAACTTTAACTGAAGGAACTGTTGTAAGTCAATCCCAATTTCACCTCTTGAACACTGGCCCAGACTGAGGTGCCTTTTTTTTTTTTAATTATTATTTTTAAAGACTGCAGTCTGGGCAAGAAGTGCTTTTTGGCAGCCTCTCGACATGTAATCCCAGATCTTCTGGGAGACCAGCCACACAGTAATGTAGCCTAATGAATAGGGGTGCCAACCTCTCTGAGGTTCTTCTTCCAAGCCTCATGTAGTCGGGGGAATGAATTATACGGTACGAGCCACCCTGTCCTGGGCATCTCAGTTGGTCTGGCTGAGGTTGAAGTTGTAAGAATTACTTAGGCAAGGCGAGTGGCATGATGCGTTTGGCCCACTGCCCTCCGTCAATGGCCTTATCCAGAGGTTTTTGCAATGCAGGTAATCGATAAAGGAGAATATTTGTAGCTCGGGGTTGAAATCAGGGGTCCTTGATGTCCTCTGAGCTTGCTTGTTTTCTTGCAGACGTTTCATTACCAAACTAGGTAACATCATCAGTGCTAGTAAAGAGTCTGGTGCAGAGTGCAGAGTTAGTGACAGCAAACTGCACTCATTAGCATGATGATGTTACCTAGTTTGGGTAATGAAACATCTGCATGAAAAAAAAGCTCAGAAAGCACCAAGCAGTTCATTTAGTGACCATTCAAAGTTCCAACAGCACTGAAAAAAAATGACTTAGTACAGTTTTTCATGCTTACAACCATTGCAGCATCCCTGTGATCATAATCAAAATCCAGATGTTTGGCACTTGGCATGTATTTATGACTGTTGCAGGATCCCGGGGTCAAATGATCCCTTTTGCAACCGTCTTACAAGAGAAGTCAATGGGGAAGCCAGATTCACTTAACAACCGTGTTACCAACTTAATAACTGCAGCGATTCAGCCACTGTGGCGAGAAAAGTCGTAAAATGGGGAAATTTTCACTTAAAATCTTTCACTTAGCAACAGAAATGTTGGGCTCAAATGTGGTCGTTAAGTCGTGGACTCCCTGTACAGAATTGACCCCTTTAAAGGGAAGATTGAAATTATCCAGATATCCAAGACGGGAAAGAGAATTAGGAGGGACAAGATCCGGTCATCCTTTGCCCAATCCTGGTCTTTTGTCATTATTGGAAAGTCAAGCGTTGCCTTTCTGCAGCATATACATTGGGTAAGAGCTACCCCCAACCTATCATTCTGTAAGAGCCTAAAGCAGAGGTCTTCAAACTTGGCAGCTTTAAGACTTGTGGATTTCAAGTCCCAGAATTCTCCAGCCAGCATAGGTATGCTGGCTGGAGAATTCTGGGACTTGAAGTCCACAAGTCTTAAAGCTGCCAAGTTTGAGGATCCCTGGCCTAAAGACTCGGTTCTGCAAACTGGCCTGGAGACCCCAATGCGAGGTTTGACTCTGGAGCTGGCTGCTAGATAGACAGCAGACTCTATTCTATTATTTTACTTTCGCTTTGTTCCAATTTCCTTTTTCTTTGTTTTTTTATGTTTGTGAACTGCTTAGAATAGGTCGATGGTGAGAGATAGATGGCAAATAAATATAAGAACTCGAGAGATAGACGGAAATGCCAAATCCAGTCTGAACATCTGGCTGACGATGCGCAGAACCATAATTATAAAACCTCTAGCACCATCAAACATCCAGATCTACCTACCCCAGGTCCTTGGTAAAGACTCACTAGGTAAGACAAAAATGCCAAATCCAGCCTGAATTTCTGGCTGACTGTGAGATGATCAATAACAATAACAGCAACAGTAATAATATACAGACATTACCTTAACAGCTCCTAGGTCCTTGTTTAGGACTCGAACTGTTAAGTTTTTACCAGTCCCAGACTGTGAATCAAATAGATTAAATAATAACAACAACATCAATGACATTAAATAATAACAACTCCGTATTTAGACAAAAATGTCAAACCTAATCTGAACATCTGGCTGCCTGTGCAATGATTAATAATGATAATGATAATCATCATCATCATATACAGACGTTACCTCAACAGCTTTTTGGTCCTAGTTTAGGACTTGAACTGTTAAGTTTGTACCAGTCCCAGACTGTGAATCAAATTCAAGATTAAATAATAACAATAATACCAGGTCCTTCCAAAGGACTCGAAAAATGCCAAGCCCAGCCTGAAATAATAATAATAATAATAATAATAATAATAATAATAATAATAATAATCATCATCATTGTACATTTTAAGAAGGCCGATACCTAGGACGCTGGCAACAACCCGATCAACCATTAGCACCAGTCAATAGTATTTGTGACATGTTTTTAAACCTTCAGTTGACTGAGTTTCATGTTTAATGAATAAAGTAAATAATAATAATAATAATAACAATAAATCGTATAGTTTAAGAAGATACTTGATTGATACCTAGGACACTGGCAGCAACTTGTATCAACCATTAGCACCAATCAATGGTATTTGTGATGCGTTTTTGAATGTTCAGTTGACTTGAGTTTCATGTTTAATGAATATAATATATAATAATAGTAATAATAGTAATTAATAATTGCAATAATAATAATAATAATACTCCTCGAGCTGCTGAGCTATTAACCAGCCTCAAAGGCTGTGAATCTCACTAAAGATTAACCAATAATAATAATATACACAAAGCAAAGAGTGACATTTTCAGCATGGAGAGGGAGAATTTTTTTAAAGATCGGATTATTATTATTATTATTATTATTATTATTATTATTATTTACTTTATTCAGTTGTCTTGAGTCTCATGTTTAATGAATAAAGTATATAAAATAATGAATATTATTATTCAGTTGTCTTGAGTTTCATGTTTAATGGATAAAGTATATAATAATAATAATAATAATAATAATAATAATAATAATAATAATAATGGCATTCCCTCCCTCCTACCCCGGCTGAGCTGAGCGGGTGTTTTGGTGCTTCTCCTCCTGAACATCTGAAGGAGGCAAAACCAGCCAGTTCCAAAAGATGGGGGGCCAATGGCGGCTTGGGGACCCCGTACCCCAAAAAGGAGTGGGGGGGGCAATGGAGTCTGGAGGGGGGAGGGGAAGCAGCCTCTCTCCCAGGAGGGAGGAATGGGGGGGAAAGGGCTGGCAACCCCCAAGTCCCACTCTCTCGCCCTAACCCCCCCCCCCCCCCCCCCCCCCCACCCCCCACAAGGCGGCCTCCTCACCCACCGGAAGCGCCCCCCGCAGTGCTGGCACTGGTCGCCCACCCAGCCGGGCTGGCACTCGCACTGGCCGGTGCTGGGTTGGCAGCGTCCTCCGTTGGCGCAGGGCTTCTCGCACGCCTTGCCGTCCGCCGAGGCCGACTCCGCGCCCCACGCCGCCAGCAGGGGCACCACCAGCAGCAGCAGCCGCCACGGCAAGGCCGGCAGGCCCGACGACGCCCCCCGACGACGCCCCCGCCGGTCCCACCGCTCCATGGCCGGAGCCCGCCGGGCGGCCGAAGGTCGCTTTTCGGATAAAGACGACGGCGAGGAGGAGGAGGAGGAGGAGGAGGACCGGCCGTTTTTTGTTTTTTTTTTTTTCCCCCCTCACGGCTCACCCGCCGCCTTCAGTCACCGGACCCTCCTGAGGAAAAAGCGACCCGGAGCCGCCGCGCCGCCATCACGCACGCGCGTCCCCTCCCAATGACGTCACGCGTCCCTGGATGAGCGCCCCAAAGGGCGGCGAACGAGCGTCCGTTGGTTTGCGTCGGCACGGAGAGGGCTAGAGCGGCGCCGGCCGCTCTGACCGCGACAGAAAGGCCATGGAGAGGAAGGAGGAGTGTCGGTCTCCCGGCAACGGGCTAAAACGGAGGGGCGGGGCGGGGGAGAAGGGGCGGGGCCTCTCTGCCCTCTGGCTTCGCCCACCAGCAGGTGGAAATCCAACTGGTGGATGCAGGATGACAGTTATTCCTCGATTTAGGACCACAATTGAGGCCGAGATTTATGTTGCGAAGTCAAAACGTTTATTAAGGGGGGGGTTTGCTCCCGTTTTACGACATTTCTGGCCAGGGAATCACTGCAGTTGTTAAGCGAGTCACACGGTTGTTAACTGAATCCGGCTTCCCCTTTTGACTTTGCTTGTCAGAAGGTCGCAAAAGGGGATCACGTGACACACAAACACACACACACACAGGGACAGTGCGACGGTCATAAATACGAGCCGGTTGCCGAGCGTCTGAATTTGGATCATGTGACCACGGGGGAGGCTGCAATCGGTCATTAAGTGTGGAAAACATAACTCACCTGAACGGCCACTAAACGGACTGTTGTAAGTCGAGGACTACCTGTACTAATGATTCAGTTCCAACTCTACAGATGGTTTGGAGCACCCCGTGGCCTATCACTTACTTCTGGTTTTCGGCAAAAGCGCCCCCATTGAGAACCGTGCATTCACTTAACGACTGTCACCAAAAAAAGATTGTAAAACAGAGAACAGTTACAAGACATGGCCATAATGGATAGGCTCCATTATGGCCGTATATCGAGGATTCCCTGTATGACATGAACTATTGTGCCAGAACTCTTATGATTATAAAGTATAATAATAAGAGGACAAGATGTCCTGTAGCCAGATGGCCTACATAGGTGTTTACACAATTTTAATTATAATTCTTTTTTCAAGGCAAATTCCTTCCTGCTCCATAGCATTGAGCCGTATCAAATCGCAGATGATTGAGGCATCAATCTTCTATAAAACGCCAAGAGGGACGTGGGATACAAATGTGTGAAGTAGCTCAAAAGTGTCTGCAGTGGAAGATAATTATGCAAAGTTTCTGCAAAACATTCAGTGACATTCAGGTACAAAACTTAGTAGCCATACTAAGAGCCCATAGACTTATATACCGCTTCATAGTACTTTTACAGCTCTTTCTACGCAGTTTATAGAGTCAGCCTCTTGCCCCCAACAATATAGTTCGCGTTTTACCGACCTTGGAAGGATGGAGCCTTGGTGGCGCAGCGGACTGCTGTTAAAGTAGCACTTAGCTGCCAGCTGCCTGCAATTACTGCGAGTTCAATTCTCACCAGGCTCAAGGTTGAAGCCTATTGCTTAATGCATTGTAAGCCGCCCTGAATCTCCGGAGAAAGGCGGCATATAAATCGAACTAATAAATAAATAAATAAATGGAAACCTTGAGCCGGTCAGGATCGAACTGCTGGCAGTCGGCAGAATTAGCCTGCAATATTGCATTCTAACCACTGAGCCACCAGGAAGGAGAACGAGAAAGGGAATTAAGAGAGGAAGGAAGGAAGGAAAGGAAAAGAAAGGGAAGGGAAGGGAAGGAAGGAAGGAAGAGCAAAAGCACTTATATACTGCTTCATAGCCCTCTCTTTAAGTGGTTTCCAGTCAGCCTATGGCCCCCAAAAATCTGGGTCCTCGTTTTACCAACCTTGGAAGGCTGAGTCCACCTTGAGCCAGTCAGGATCGAACTGCTGGCAGTCGGCAGAATTAGCCTGCAATATTGCATTCTAACCACTGCACCCCAGGAAGGAGAATGAAGGGAAGAGAGAAAGGAAAGGAAGGGGTATACTGCTTCACAGCCCTCTCTAAGCAGTTTCCAGTCAGCATCTTACCCCTAACAATCTGGGTCCTCGTTTTACCAATCTCAGAAGGCTGGAAGTTCTGAGTCCACCTTGAGTAAAGTGGCTGACTAGAAGCAATCAAAGGAAACACAGCTTCTACCTAGGTGTTCTGTCCCCGTCCCACACATGCACCCCCACAGACGGCCCGGAGTTAATAAGCCACACAACAAAGTCTTTGAAGATAAAGCTGGCAGCAACCCAGTGGCTAGCTGACAATTCAGACTTTACTCACACAAAACAAAGATTAGACTGCAAGTATTCCGATAAAGCAGGCAAAGTTTCAGTAATACAAGGATTAGTCCAGATGCAGTCCGACAAGGCAGGCAGAAGTCCAGTAACGCAGAGATCATGGATTATTTCTAGTTTTTGCTCGTCACAAACTGAACTGGCCACCACACCCACATTTATACCCTGTGGGGTGTGGCCCAGTGACTCAGCTAATCTCTGGCACGCCTTCCCCTCTGCTGCGCACTCTTCTCCCTGCGCCGCTATCAAGGATCCAGCCAGCACTTATCTCCTTCGTCGCTGTCCACCTGTGGCTGCGGGGACGTGCTTGGCTCTGGGCCTATCTCTTGGCCTTTGGTGTCCTCCGGAGGCATTGCCAGAGAGGAGGGTCTTGGAGAGGGAGGCCTTGCCAACTCCTCTCCCTCACTCTCAGAGTCTGCATCTGTCGATAGCCCAAGCTCAGGCAACGGAGCCACCACACTAGGCAACTTTAAGCTAATATGCTGACTTCCAGAATTGGAGCCCGGCTGGCTGGGGAATTCGGTGGGTTGAAGCCTACCCATTTTAAAATTGCTCCAATGGAGAAACGCCGTTATAGAATGCCTGTAGTAATGGAAAACCAGCATCTCAGAACATCTGACCGTTGCTTTGTTTAACAATTGCTGCACTGTCACTCAGGCCTTAGGTCAAGCCAGCAAGTGTCTAAATGGCTAAAGGTGCCAGTTTCCTAACAGATCTTGATGGCAGAATGGAGGTGCAATTTAATTTTCACCCGTTGCACAGGTAAGTTTACGCAGGAGAGGCTGTTTGGGAAAACCAGTGCTGAGTTTCCTTTGCTAAGGTCCCCCACACGGAGTCAAACTTATTTGATGCTCTAGAACAGTGATGGCGAACCTCTGCTTGGGAGTTGAAGTCCACAAGTCTTAAAGCTGCCAAGTTTGAAGACCTCTGATCTAAACCATCAACTTCCTTCAGGAATCTAAGAGACCATTTATCTGGCTCTGGAGATTGTAAACTCTAAATTTAGAGTAAACTGATATCCCTTCTCCTGTTTTGCCCACTTTGGACTCGGGGAAGTATTATTCCCACATCCTTTCTTTCCACTCCCAAGATACAAAATCAATATCTACCTTCCTCCAATTTCAATCACAAGAAAAGGCTTTTCAACATCCCAAAGACTATAAAGACCTTTTTTTAAAAAAAAATTGGGTTCAAATTCCAGTTTCTATTAATCAGAAATAGTGGCTGCTTCAGGTTTTGGTTCCACTGGCGCTTAAAGAGATATGGGTAGTCCTCGGCTTACGACCACAGCTGAGCCCAGAATTTATGCTGCAAAGTGAGATATTTGTTAAGCGTGTTTTTGTCCCATTTTATGGCTTGTCTTGCCACCGTTGTTAAGTGAATCCCTGCGGTGGTTAAATTAGTCACACGGTTGCCACCACTGTGGCAAGAGAGGTCATAAAACGGGGCAAAGCCCACTTAACCACTGTCACGCTTAGCAATGGAAATTTGGATTTCGGTTGCTATGTGGGCTACCGCCACTTTATTTTGAACGGATTGAAATCTCCGGATGTTTTTTCAAAGGCAGCCCCACGCTGAGCACATCGCGGTCGTCCATGCTGCCGCCTTCGAATCCTGCCAATAGGAACGTGCAAATCTCCACCACCGCGGGAGCTTCAGGTCCTCTGTGCCACCAAGCCCTGCCTTCCTTAAACCGAGTTAATCTTTCTGGACATCTGCAGGCGGCATGAAATGTACTTTGTCCAACCTTCGCATGGTTCGAGGGCAAGCTTGATTGCTCCACAAGGTGACTCGAGTTCGGGTATTACCAGTTCTTCCCTTGTTTCTAAGAAGCAGATGGGATGAAACCTATGAAGATCTACCCATCCTTATAAAAACCAATTAATCAGGCCTTTCTTTTTCCCAAGAAAACTCATGTCGTCTTTCTGAAAAGAAGTTTGTGCATCTTCTTCTACCAGTCGTTCATTCCTGGCACTCTGAGGCTGGCGTAGCCCCAACAGCGTCCTCACGAGCTCTGTGTTTGCAAGGATCCTTGATTAAATCCGATCGAGTCTCAATGTCTGCATTTACACGCAATGCTCAGCCTGGGGATTCCCCATCCGCAGACTTCACAGTTCAGTTATTGTCTGCACAGCAAGACAATGGGCAAATTGTCAAACTAAGGGTGCACGGCTGAATGAATCACTCAGCTTTGTAGAAAGCTGCACGTTTAAGCTGCACAATCTCTTCTCAGTTGTGGTCACAGATGAAAAGGGTGATAAGACAAGGCCTCTCCCCCAAGTTGATCTCTGCAGCAAGAGCCGTCCATCCTTTCGAGGTAGGTAAAATGAGGACCCGGATTGTGGGGGCAATAAGCTGACTTTGTATAAAAAAGAACACCGCTGGGGGGGGGGGGCGAAAGCCCTACTAAGCAGGTATATACAAAAGTATGAAGGCTATTACTTAACGCATTGTAAGCCGCCCTGAGTCTCCAGAGAAGGGCGGCATATAAAATCGAACCAATAAATAAATAATAAATAAGAGGCTGCTGTATTTAACCAAGTTGGGCAGAAGCCAGTCGTGTGCTGCAGCTGCCCAAAAGGCCAACACAATCTTAGGCTGCATAAACAGAGGGATAGAATTAAGATCAGGTGAAGTGTTAATATCACTTTATAATGCTCTGGTAAGGCCACACTTGGAATCCTGCACCCAGTTTTGGTTGCCATGATGTAAAAAAGGATGT